GATAGATAATGAAAGATCTATCGATTGGTAAAAGAATAATTAAAAATAAAGAAGACCATAGAGAGAAATAAGTTTTACAAATAAATAGATTCTGAGGCGGTACTCCCAACCAAAAATTTTCAAAACCCCCAAAGAAAATAAATATTCATTTTTTGTTTATATTAAAAATTTTAAATTAAACCAATTTGTTAATCATAATAATAATAATAACAATAATGATCAGAAATAATACAAATAGGCATCGAAACACCCAACAGGTGCATACGACGACAATGATAAATAATAATAACAATAGTGGTATTTTTAATACTCGTATAGGCAGTGTTTCATTACCATCATCAACGTTATCATCATCATCATCGTCATCGTCATCATCATCATCATCATCATCATCATCATCATCATCATCATCATCATCATCATCATCATCATCATCATCATCATCATCATCATCATCATCATCAACATCAACGTTGCCGTCATCATCATTATCATTATCATTGCAACTTGAAGATAAAGACCACAATCTTCAGTCACCGTCCACCAATGAAGAGAGAATTCCAGTTACCATTGGCGATCGTTCCACCACGTCTCCTGCTTCCTTGTCATTACCAGTCGACGAACAAAATGTTCCAGCTTTGTCACCATCACAAACAAATCTTACAACCACCTCTTCTATCTCACAGCAACCACCAGAACAACAACCACCAGAACAAGAACTAGAACAAACAATAGAGGAGGAAGAGGAAGAATATTGGTCAAATGACTCTGGGGAGAGATTCCATGTTTTGTATCATATACGTCGTCATGTAGAGCAACACCAAAACGATCAAGATAATAGTGAGGAAGAAGATATAGAAGGGCTAATCTATAGGGAGGAAGAGGGGGAGGAAGAAGAAAATCAAGATGAAGGAGCTTCCGATGACCAAGAGGAGGAAGAAGAAGAAGAAGAGGAGGAGGAGGAGGAGGAAGACGACTATGACGATGAAATGGACTTTGAAGAGGAATACTACTTTCAAGATGACGAAGAGGAAAATGAACAAGACTATGATAATTATGAGGAGATTTTAGAGGAAGAGGAGGAGGAAGAAGAAGAAGAAGAGGAAGAAGAAGAAAGTGAAAGTGAAAGTGAAGAAATAGAAAATAATGTAAATAGTAGTAATAATAATATATTGATTGAAGAGGCAAAGGATGGTCTTGAATGGATATTCAAAAATGTAAATATTTTAAACCATCCAATTAGTATTCGATATGGATCAGTTGGATGGTTCATGTTTAACCGATTACGCAATAATAATATATATCCAGTAGAGTGTGGTAGAAGATTTCTATCACAGTTCCTGTGTTACTATATGATGTTGAGTGAACAATCACCGTATACGTCACAAAAGCATTTTATATCTGTTTATTTGCCCTCCATTTCTCAACTCTGGGTTTGTATCCTATATGACCACCAACTACTTGTACCTATATATTAACTTTTTTAATTTCAAGCATATTTTATCAATGTCCAATGATTTGGGTCTTACAAATCGAGATTTACTATGTATGAAGGTCATTTTAGATATTTTGGAGCATTTCTATCGATTAAATGACTCTCCAACCTTTAATGTATGTACAATCTAAATAGTGTAATAATGTCATTTTTGAAGAATTTGTCAAAACTAAAGGATTTCATACTATATAGATCTATTGTAACAAGTTTATACCTTTGGCATTGGAATTCTATGATGGTCTAGACGATGAAACTTTGGAGGACATTAACAAACAACTCCAAGCACTATTGAGACCATCTCATGACTTTTCAATCATTAGACTATTCAACAAACAACAATATCAGATCTACTTTGACGATCAATTATCTTCACTAAGAAATTTGACCGATATGAATAATTATTCATCCTATTATTTATAAATCGAGGAATGGTACATTGCCAAAAATTGAACCAAGTTTACCAAAAAAAAAATAGTATTTTATTTCTTTTGTTTCTTTACTTGTCTATTACCTGATGTTGCTGCTGTTGTTGTTGTTGATTCACCTTTAAATTTGTTTACATCCTTTTGAGACAATTTAACTGGACCACCACTAGAGTTTCCTTTTCTCTTTTTGTTTTGTGATTGTCTATTTTTGTTGTTGTTGTTGTTGCTGCTGTTGCCACGACCAGATTTAATGATTGGTAACTTGCCAGAAGAAGATTTTCCATTGACAGTCTTTTTGAGAGCATCTGGAACAAGATACTCTGGAATATAGCCAAGATGCTCCTTGAGATCGTGTTTTCTTGTCAATGGGATATCATGCTTTAAAATTTCTAAATCTTTTGGGTTTTCCTTGAAATGGTTCTTGAGTTTCTCGCTATTAATAATTTCTTGCTCGAGTTCAGTCTTTCTTGCTCTGGAAATAGTATTTTTGGTGACACTATTGAGAACATCTTCGACACGATATCTAAATCCTTCGATAGTGGCCATCTTGAATTCAAATGGCTTGACATTGTAACCGTGTTCAGCTCTCTTTCTTTGAATCTTTTTTAAAAGTGGCTCGTTTCTCTTGGTTACAAATGACAATGCCACTCCTTTACTATTACCTCTAGCTGTTCTACCAACACGATGTACATAATTTTTATAGGTTCTAGGGAAATCAAAGTTTATAACTAAATTTAAATGAAAATTTGAAATTATCAAATATGTTAATAATAATAATGATAATATTAATAATTTGTCGAAAAGTTTTTAATATTTACCAATATCAACATTCTTAAAATCTATTCCTCTAGCAACACCATATTCCTTGTCAGCCAATTTCGATGGTTTACGGTCCTTTTCTTCTTCCTCTTCTTCCTTGACTTCCATCTCTTCACCTTTGCTAAAGAAGGAATCTTCATCATTTTCACTTTCCTCGTCGTCTTCTTGCTCTTCTTCGCTTTCTTTTGGTTCTTCTTTAACTTGAATTGATTTTTTAGATGTAGACTTTTCTGGAATCTCTTGAACCTCGTCGTCACTATCTTGATCTTGGTTCTCCTCATCACTATCTTGATCTTCTTCTTCTTCTTCTTCTTCTTCGTCTTCATCATTATCTTCTTCGTCTTCATCATTATCTTCTTCTTCTTCATCTTGAGAAACATCATCTTGGTCATTTTCTTCTTCAGAATCGATTTCATCAAAATCTTTAAGTTCCGACTTTGTTGATTTAAATGATTCATCGGTTGCGATCAAATAATCATAGATACCCTTATTGAATTGTAAAATGATATGATGTCTTGAATTGATTGGTAATTCAGAGTTTAGTACAGCAGCTCTGATGTGGAATTGTTCGAGGAATAATTTGAGTTTGTAGCATTGGAAAGTGTCATTGACAAAAAACAAAATCTTTCCTTGCATCAATTTTAATCTCAACAATGTAAAAATTAATAGATATCTATCAAATGAAACAGTCTTGATTGAATACTCTGTAAGATTTGTCTTTTCACTTTGATCTTCTTCTAATCTTAGAATTGCCTAAATAAAAAAAATAAATTAGACTTTGTTTTGATTATTATTACTAAATTATAATTACAGGAGTATGAAGAATAAGTTTTTTAAGTTCATCAACTTGGGGAGTAAGGGTGGCAGACATGAGAAATCCTTGACAAACTTTTGGAAGAAAAGATTTAATGGTTTGGATGTCTTCTTGGTAGCCATATGACAATACGAGATCGGCTTCATCAATGACCAACATTTCGAGTGACATGTCTAATTTGATGTTTTGATTCTTTAGATGATTGACCAATCTGGTTGGTGTCGAAATGATGATATCTGGTACATCTCTGAGCATTCCTCTTTGTTCATCGACTGATTGTTCGCTACCAAGATGAACAACATTGATAAGATGTGTACAATAGAAACAGATTTGAAGTAAATTTTGTTGTACCTGTTCACAAAGTTCTTTGGTTGGAACGAGGATAACTGCTTTAACACCTGCTCCTTTACTGCTTGGAATTTTGGTCTTTTTTAAATAAATGAGAGGAAGGAGGATTGTTGTTAAAAGGTTTGCGGTTTTTAGTAGTACTATGTTTATAAATAAATACATTTTGTTTTGCCATTAAAATCTTTTGAACGATAGGTATGGTGTAGGCTGCAGTCTTTCCACTACCAGTTCTAGCTTTTGCAAGTATATCTTTTCCTTGAAGTGATAGAGGTATAGATTTTGCTTGAATTAGCGTTGGATGTTCATAACCAATCTTTTTAACTGCTTTAATGATTCTCATATCGAGACACATCGATTCAAAAGTAGTCTCTCCATCGATGAGTGATTCACTAATATTTGAATTATTCGATTTCTCGGTAATTAATGTTTTACTTAGATCCATCTCTCTCTTTCTCGTTATCTCTCTCTCTCTCTCTTTTTTTGTGTGGACGATAAAAGGATGAGGCAAAAAATTGATTCGTTCGTCTTTCAAAAGATGCATAAAAAAATTAAAAAAAAATGAAAATAATAAAAATTTATTATTAAAAGTGGCTGAACTAATAAATACACTTTAAAAGTTTACAAAAAAAAACCTCTTTCATTTTATTAGTATCATTATTAATTAATTCTATTATTATTATTATTTAATAAAAGAAATGGGAATCAAAGATCATTTTTGTTATATTTATATATTTTCAATACTCGATGATTACAATGATCTGGATGATCAGGACAAAACAAAGTTGGCAGTAATAATTCTATTACTTATACTCTCCGTAATGAGTATACCCTCTTCATTAACTGGATATCTAGGTCTATTTTTTTGTATGCTCTCTAGTTTTAATTGTTTTGTTGGCATTTTTGCAATTAGGCAATACCAAAAAAGTTGTGTCATTGTCGTATGTACGCTTATCACAATATGATAGAGAAGATGGCAATCCAAACTTACAAAATTTCTTTTTAAAATTTTGATTAAATTGAGTATTGTTCTGTTGCAGAACTATGCTTCTTTTTTACTTCATACAACTTGTTTCAATTCTTACACAACAATGCTTACGATACAATCAATCATTCAAATTGGATCAAAGTAACCATGTCTTTGAAGATTTTTTTAATATTCTCCTATATTTTGTGGAGTATTTTAACTGTATGACAAAGATAGTAATATTAATTATTATTTAATTATTAATTTAAATTTATTATTAGATGATTAGTATAAAGTATAGTTTACAAATATTTAAAAATAACAAAGCATTGCATAAAGAATCATTTCCCTATATCGAGATTTCTACAGCCTCTCCAATGATATCATCGCCACAGATCATGTCATCGTTACCACTAACAAACATTCCCAAAGTCGACGATATAGTCTCGACGAAATAAAATCATTTCTCTTCTTTTTGGAAATGTTGTATGTCACCACAAGTCTACTACTACTACTATACAAGATGGTTAGGATGATGTTGTTGTTGTTGTTGTTGTTGTTGTTGGAGGTAAATCGAATGATTTTGATTCGACCTGTTGCATTTCACTTCTTAATTTCTTAAAGAAATCCGATGTGTTGTGAGTTTTGATATGTTGGAATGGTTCTTTTACTTGTTGTTGTTGTTGTTGTTGTTGTTGTTGTTGTTGTTGTTCTTTTTGTTGTAGTTGCTGTTGTTGTTGTGCATTTAAATATTGTAAAATCTCATCTTCTTCTTTCTGTAATAATCAAAACTGTTGTGTTAGTATTGATATACAAATATACAAATATATATATATATTGGTGTTATTATGTTAACATGTCAATCATACTTGTTGTTGTAGATTTGATAGTACCCATTTCAAAGGGTTAGAAGTGTTTGAGGTAGGAGTTGAAGAGATAACATTTGATAGATGTTTCTCTGCATGGTTGATTCTTTCATCAATAGTATTTAGATTTTTAGAAATGTCATTACAAAGTGTTTGTAATTGATCTATCAGTGGAAACAATTGTTGAACTTGATTACTTCTTTCTACTAAAAGAGGTATTAATACCTTTTCTGTCTTGTCAGTATCTGTTTTAATCTGAAATCAAATTATATTAATAAACAAATAAACAAATAAACAACAACAACAACAACAACAACAAATGTCAAGCAGTCAATCCAAGTAGCTTCTACATACAGTTTCAACAAAAGCACCAAATTCATCTATTCGAGCAAGCATGTTCTCTATGGTGTTGTCTACTTGGTGGGCTTGTTCATTTGTGCTATTTGAGAATGAATAATAATTTGCATATTGGTTGGCTATTAATTTGATCAAGTGTTGTTGGTCTTCTTCCATTATTGCACTCTACCTCTTTTATATAAATAAAATAATATAAAGATATTGCAAAGGAACCTTTTTGTTGTTTATTTTTCAAAAAATTTTTTAATCATCATCACCTGTCATTCGTTTTGTCATTGAAAACAGATCGTCAATATTATTTGTAGTATAATACATTCATAGACAATCTATATATATATAAAAATGAAGCACGTATCAGCATTAAAGAAGATGTGCCGTTTTTGTCAGCTACTTAGAAGAGGAAAGAATATATTTGTATATTGTTCGTCAAATGTTAGACATAAGCAAAAGCAAGGATGGGTATGTCAATAACTTGAATAAAAAGAGGCAATAAGCAGCAGCAGCAGCAGCAGCAGCAACAGTAGTAAAATAAGCGAATGCATACAGCAGCATCAACAATTACCACTTGGTTGGAAACAAGATCACTAACATCATCATCATCATCATCATCGTCATTTTAATCTAGATTCAAAGCAAATAAACGATCTTACAATGATTTATACTGAACTGATATATAAACCTACATGACCACTATACAACGACAACGACGACAACAAGAATAATAAAAAGAATTTTCTATGGATAACAATCAAAAATGCGCAATTTATTGGATATGATCATTATAATTATGATTTTAAATTGGTTAAAGTAAGGTTACAATCAACTTGGAGAATCATTATAGTCAAATCGGTGGCCATTTGGAGGATAGACTTTTTTTGTTCTACCAGCTCCCAACAAATTGCCATTTGGTGATCACCTCCTGGGTCAGATGTTGTTGTGATTTGTTGACTTTTAATTCCCAACCTACAATGGTCCATTGACTCAACTTTGTCAATATTATTGTAATGAGATTGATAAATGTCAGTCAATAGAGATAGTGGGTCTCTAGTTTGGTTGTCATTGCCGCCACCACCACCACCATTCTCTAATAATGTTTTTGGTATTGATAACAAAGAGTGGCACCAAGATTTAATGCACATTTCTTCTACTTGACTGTCTACTCTAAAATGGTTCTTCCAACGTGTTTCTTGATCTTTTGATTCTCTTTTCTTCTGATTGTCAATAAATTTTGATAGGTTTGTATAAAGATACAATTCTGTTGAACCTGCGCCACTTGTGACCGCTCGTTTTCTACCATCTATTTCTGGTAATGCATTTGCCAATACACTTAAACAATCTTGTACACATTCCATAGCCTCTTGGCACATTTGTTTGGTACCACCTCTTATTAAAATGGTAACCACTGGGTCCACTTTTGTTTGATCACCACCACCACCACCACCACCATATTGGAGAAGTATATTATTGACAGGATCATCCATATTATAAATCACCATAGATAAATCATTTAAATATCCGATAAATCTCTCGTCATTATTAATTTTTTTGATCTTGTTTGGTAGTTTATGGCAAATGGTTGCACCTGATATTTGGGAAATGATTTCTAATTTGTCACCAGATACCCATGTGATTACTTTGATAGAACCATTCTGTTGCTGATGCTGTGACAGCATGTCCAAAAGCTGTTCATCTATTCCCCATTGGCATACAAGCAAATCTACTTGGCATGATATAATCCAATTGTATAGTTCTGTTCTTCTCTGCAAAACAAAACTAGGTGAACCATTACCAATTTCCATCGAAAATGCAACTATTATCAGTCTATAGGTGGTGGGATAGGACGATTGCGACGGCGGTATTGTGGTAGAGGAAGCAAAAGACTTTGCCTTTAATAATATTCCATGGATTAATTTACTATCATTTATCGATGCTCCCTCTACAAATTCTATTATTATTCTTGTTTTTAATGAAACCAATTGTAATGCTTCTAGGCATAAACCAGATAAAAGTTTTCTATGATGATAAACATTCTTTGAATTTAAACTGTCCTCTCCTAATAATGATATTGGTAGTGTATTATTATTATTATTATTATTATTATTATTATTATTATTATTATTATTATTATTATTATTATTATTATTATTATTATTATTATTATTATTATTATTATTATTTTGATTGATTGATAATGGAATAGAATATTGATCAATGAGGTGAAAAGATTGTAAGAGGGCAATGCGATAGCATTCAGCAATGGTTGATGGATGAATATTTTTTTCATTGATTAAGTGAAGTGATGATTGACAAAGTGCTCCAATAATGACAACGATTGATGTCGTTCCATCTCCAAATATTTTGTTGTGATCGCTACAACATCGATAAATTAGTTCAACTAGTGATTGATAATGATAATGATTATTATTATTATTATTATTATTGTTGTTGTTGTTGTTGTTGTTGTTGTTGTTGTTGTTGTTGTTGTTGTTGTTGTTGTTGTTGTTGTTGTTGTTGTTGTTGTTGTTGTTGTTGTTGTTGTTGTTGTTGTTGTTTAAAGTTTTATCTCTATCGTGATCATTTAGTTGTCGTATTTTATCGTCACCAATACCAACAACATCATTATTATTATTGTTTTTATCAAACGATAATGATAACGCTTTCAATATTTGAAAACCATCATTGGTTATTGTGATGTTGCCTTCAGAGTCAACCAATAACTTATCACCCCCTTTTGGTCCTAATGAAGAACCAAGAAAAGAAGATAAACTAATTATGTGTTGCACATTACTTTTTAATGTTTCTAGATAGCTATAATTAGTGTGGGATGATCCTTTTGAAACCATTTATTATTGATCATGAGGCAAAGGTCGATGATCAAAGAACAAGACTCTCTCAAAAGGACAATACGTAAAATCTCTTTTTTGGCTTTTGTTAAAAAAAAAAAACCAGAACCAAAAAAAGAAACAAAAAAATCATAACCAAACCTCTGTACCGTACGGTTGAAGGGGGTTTGAAAGGAGGTTGGCTGATAAACTCCAATCAAAATTTGTTTCAAGATTCACTGCAGCTATTTCTAGCATACCCTCTCTTCAAGATTGAAAGTTTTAAACCCATTAACTCCCAATAACATCTTCATAATCGATCGTTAAAATATATTTAATCATTATATAATTATAATTTCTTTACCTCTACATCAATAGCTATTCAACTACATCAATCACCATCATCGTCTTTTGTATGTACTACAATTCATTTTACTTGTTGTGTTTTTAGCTAAAATTAACATACCTTTATCTGTACTATCATCAATCATCATCATCATCATCATCATACTTGAAGAATAATAGAGCTAGCTAGGTGGAGGGTAGGTACTACTACTAGTACTGTAAAGAAACAAGTGGCTCCAACAACTCGATCATGTCACTTGATCCAACAACAAACATTGTTGTTGATAATAATAATAATAATCTTTCAGAAGGAGCAACGCTTACAAAGAGTTTCAATAATAATAATACAAAGCCAAAGTTTAGTCTCAATCTCAATTTGGTTAGTAGACTTACCTCTGGATTTACTGGCACTTGTCCCGTTTCACCAACATCACCGTCATCTGAAAATTCAATTCCAACCATCGTCACCGGAGATCCAACCACATCGACGACAACAACAACAACAACAACAACAACAACTAGTTCAACCACTTCTTCATCCTCCTCTTCTTCTTCATCCTCCTCATCTTCATCATCCTCCTTTAGAAATCTATTTCTAGGAGGGTGTAGTCCAAGAAAAGTGTCACCTCCAAATTCTACACTCCCAAGCCCAAGACAGTTTTTTGCTGGTATAACAGGCAGCAAGTCTTCAAAACATAATAATGGTCATAGCAATACAACCAATACCGCATCGGGTAGCTACAATGTACTCTCTATACAATCTATCCAACAACTTCCAAGTAGTTTACTTGAAAAGATTGTTAGGTATAGTATGGCAAGTAAGGATTTAGTGTTGCCATCTATTCGTTACATAGAGTTGTTGCTGATTTCAAAAGCATTTCATAAAACACTTGATAATATGAAGGCATTCACACTTGTTGTGGGCGTTAGCCAACAACATACACTTGCAACTATGCGTTGGTACAAGTCGAATTGGAAGAAAGTATCTTCTATTCGCTTGGTTAATTGCAATACATTTAAATTGGGCACATTATCTGCATCGACAATACTATCAGCTCTTCGAGATGAACAAACAGCTTGTCATGATCCTACAATCGAAATGGTAGATCAATTCTACCTGTCTAGGGATCTTTTGAATGTAATAATTAGCAAACTCGGAGTTTCTCATTATTTTCATACCCTATCACTTTCTCAGTGTATTTATGATCAATCAATAGATCAAACAACCATCGATAGGCTATATCACGCCATTCTAGTAAATCAATCATTGTTTCATCTTTCAATAACATGTCACCCTACATCATCATCAACAACAAATCAAATAACCACTCAACCAACTATCACCCATCCTATTGGATTGGTACTCATGGACTCTAATAATAATAATAATAATAATAATAATAATAATAATAATAATAATAATATAAATAATATAAATAACAATATCAATATTAATAATAATCACACTAATAATTGTTGGTTCATTCCACCAATTTATATTTCAAGAATTCTATCAAGTCAACAAAATAATATTACCAGTATCGAATTGTATAACCTTGTACTTGACACAAAGGAAAGTATGGTACATCTTGAAAAAGCAATTTCTCAAAGTACTTCCCTTCAATCATTTATGTTGTATAATACAACTGGACCAAGGGATGGATGCGATCTTTTAAAATATATTATCAATGGAATAGCAAATAACCGATCGGTTACAAAAACGAGTCTAGAAAATTGCTATTTATTTGATAATTTAGAAGTTGTGGATAGCTTTTTGCGCCTATTAAATGTAAACAATACTATTATAGATCTCAATATTTCTCACAATTTACTTGTTAATTTATCCAACCATCACACCAAAAATAATAATAATAATAATAGCCAACCACCCAATCAATGTAACAATAGAAATAATATTTTTAGAGATATTGTCTCTTCAATATCGAAAAACAAACAAACATCAATCAAACATTTAAATCTAACTCATATAGCTCCTCTATTGGCAGATGTTATCTTTTTTCCATACATTTGTTTATTGCCTCCCTCCATTAAATCACTTCAACTATGTAATAATTTTCCATTTCCTTCAAATTTTTCAACTCTACTCGTCAATAATAATAATAATCAAAATAATCAAAATAATCAAAATAATAACAAGAATGATATTACTTTTAATAGTATTCCCAAATCAATATCAAATGTTGGTAATTTTATTACAATTCAAGAATTGTCACTTGGTAATTTAAGATTGGGTGATGAAAAATGCAAGCCACTTTTGATCTCGCTCGAATCAGGACTCAGGAACCAAACTTTGTTTGTTCAAAAGTTGGATCTATCAATCAATCGACTAAGAGATGGATCTGCATTGTTAATAAGCAAATATCTTCAAGACAACAACCAACTAGAAACATTAATTCTTGATTACAACTTTTTAAAGAGTGGAGTCATTAGTATTTGCCAATCCCTCTATAAAAATACAACTTTGACCAAACTATCTCTCTTTGCAACTCACATTCAAGAAAATGAAAGCAAGGCACTCGCAAAATTATTCTCAACCATTAATCATCAAAATCAACAACTATTGTCTATGGAATCGGGTTATAATAATAATAATAATAATCATATTAGTAATAATACTATATCTGGTCAGGGAAGTGCAATAAGACATCTCAATATTGGATACAATAGTAACATTGATGCAGTTTTACGAACCCTTTCATCATCAAGATATCTAAATTTACAAACCCTAAATATATCTCATAGCAGTCATCTTGGTAATTATCTTGTTAAATTATTACAACAACAACAACAATATAGAATTAAAGAAACAAAATCAAATAATCAATCAAATAATCAATCAAATAATAATCAAAATAATCAAAATAATCAAAATAATAATAATTCAATAATTCAAGATCAAGTTCTTTCTCTGACCCCTCCTCCACCACCACCTCCACCACCTCCACCACCTCCACCTCCTCCACCTCCCCCTCCTCCAAGTATAACAGTGATGTCATCATTACAAAATATTGATATCAGTAATTGTACTTTTTCAAAATGGAGACTTCCAGATATTTTGAGTGCCATTGTCAAAAATAGAACACTTGTCAATGTTAATATCTCTTTGGACAATCCTTCAATCCAAAAAATATTAAATTCCAATCCAAAACTTCATTCCAGATTGCTTTCTATGGTTGCTAAAACTTGTAATGGCGATTATAGTAGAGTTAACAGTAGCCGTCAAGTCCAATTGTAATAATAAAGATTGATTGATAAATTCCATATTGTGTTGTTGTTGTTGTTTTCTGCTTATTATAACATATAGGTAGTTGTTGTTGTTTTATTGGGCCTTGGTGTGATCGATCTTTTCGACCTTGACAACTCCGTCAATAAGTTTGTAAATATATACATTGATGGTAGTTCCTTGGACGTCCATCAAAATAAATGATGGAATTACATCCCTATAATAATTTTTATGAAAAAGTTAAAGTGATCAGTAAAGAAGAAGAGGAAGAAAAAGAAATCAGAGATTAAATTAATCATCATTTTGACTTACTGTGAAGTAATACTATAGGCACCAGTAGCAGATCCTGGGTTAATGAAAAGTTTTCCATTTGATTCATAAACTTCAATGTTGTGGGTATGACCAGTGATAAGGACATCGACATCTAATTGTCTTTGGAGAATAGAGAGAGCAGCCTTGTCTCCCCATGGTACCACTTGATGTCCGTGGCATAGGCCAAATTTGAATTGCCCAAGTGTAACTGTTTTAGTGTCTGGGAATGAAGTGTTTTCATCAAAATCTCCTCTTACAATATGTACACCATGTGTCAATGACTTGAAGTAATCAAGGGTATCCTTTGATACTAAATTACCTGTGCATAGAATATGTTGAATCTTTTCTGGTACCTATAGGTGTAAAATGTTTGATGTATAACAAATCATTAGAACAAATAAATGAAGTAATCTGTGTGCAGATTCTAAACATACAAGTAACTTTTTAAACTCTGCAGGAATGCTGTGAGATCTGTGTGGAACGTGTAAATCACCAATTGCTATAATAAACTAAATAAGAATGTAAGTATAAAGGAAGATCTTAAACATCTGAAATACTATACTATACCATCCTATCCTTATTCTATTATATAAATATAATATAAACTCTCTCTCAAAAATGAATTAAAAGAGACCACAAAGAAGATTCTTTGTCTTTTTTTTTTTTTTTTTTTTTTTTTTTGGCACTCAATGAAAAGGAGATTATCACTCATTCGATAGGGAGGCACCTGATGTCCATCTATAGATATTTATAAACACAAAGTACTCATAGACACTGACAGAGATGTATGACTATATCTCATGTTTACATCATAATTAATACGATTCATAATAGAATAATATCACTTTGAACTTTATTCCTTTCCTTTTTTTACATATTATAATCTCCTATTTTCTATATCTTATTGGTTTCAATTTCTTTTTAATTAACAGAAAAGAAAAGAAAGTTAATAATAATAATCAAAATTTTATCTAGTGGGTTGGGATGATATATATATATATATTTACCTTTGTTAATAAATTCTATTCTCTTTACTCTGTCTTGATATGATTCTAAAATTTGAAAGTTTCTTTGGTAGGCATATGTTTGAGCATCATATGATATATAACTTGTATATCCCAAAGCAGAAGCAAAGGCAACGTGATAGTGTGGGTTGGTAAAGTATGGTTTCTTTCCCAAGAGATTGAGCATCATACCCATACCAATACCCATACCAATACCTGCAGCTACTTTAAAGGTTCTATTTAATCTAACGAATGGATATTGATCACTACGTAATAGGTTGTCATCTATTTGTTGTTGTTGTTGTTGTGACATTGTTTCGAGAAGAGAGTTGTAATCACTACTGAACTAAAGAGAGAGAGATAATGTACACACAAAGCAACCAGACGATCACAAACATTTCATTTTTTTTTTTTTTATTTTATTTTTTTTTTTCATTAAAACTACTAACTCTGAAGTTACAAGTTGTAGTTAAAGTTTAAACAACACCAAGAGATATGAATACCTTTTCACCATTGTCATCACCACCTTTTGACAATGAACATGGTGATGATGGTGATGATAAGCAATCATATAGTAACGATGAAAGATCTCAAAGTAAACCAATCTATAGATATTCACCAAAGCCAGCAATGGTTGCAACGACATCTCAGTTTATAGAAAATAGAGTATTGGTAACATTATTACCATCACTTTTTATAGTTTTAATGATTGGTGGAAGGACTACACTATATGTATCTGCTATTGTATCTCTTTTGACTTATCTATTTGATCTTTTCTCTCAAACAGAATTGTATGTATCTATAGAATCTGTAAAATGTAATAATTTTAATTTTAATTTTAATTTTAATTTTAATTTTAATTTAAATTATGATTAGTACTCTAATTTCAATATGGGTAGGAATGATAGCTATAAATTTATCAATTGCAGTCAACAGTTTATCACTTGTAAACCATATCATAATTAATGCACTTCTCCTATTTAATATGGCCATGATACTTGCATTGTGTGGACTGTATGCGACTTTACAATTTAGACCAAAGCTTGGTTCCACCTTTCCCGCAATATTTGAAACAATGGAAAGGATTTTGATATCTTGTACTCCATATCCAACTACTGTTATTTTCCTTTGGTTTATCATATCGACCATCGAAAGTTCAATCAATCAATCAACCCCCTATTATTTATTAATTATATTGATTGTTCAATATTTCCTTTATCAAAATAATAATAATAATAATAGTAATAATATATTATCAACAACAATAATGAAAATAACATTTATAAGTTTTCCAGCAACATTTTATTATTCAATCTATCACCGAGCAGTTGTGACAACAGATTATAATCACCTTTTACATTTGGTACTTTTAATTTCAATTCCAATCTTTATTTGTACAACCTCCTCTTCCTCTTCATCCTCCTCATCCTCCTCTCCATCTTCTTCTTTATTTTTTATTTTAAAAATGATAAATGGAATGTTATTAATTGGATCAATAGAGTATTTGGTTATTTTAAAGTCTCCAACTTTTTCAAAGACTATCAATATTGCCCCACCCTATAATTACATTTTTGTGACCATTGCAGTGTACACGGCTGCCGTTATACTCTATATTATTTTATTTGGTGCAAATAATCAACAACAACAACAACAAATATTTTCTAGTAAATATTTATTAATAGTTGTGGCATTAATCTTTTCAATAACTACAACCTATATGCTCGCCGCACCATTTTATATCTATATATTTTCAATTGTATCTGCATTATCACTATCCATTTATTTATATAGTATAATTTCCAACAAACAACCAACAAGTAGTATTTTCTATAGTTTATTTATTATAACTTCGACCATATGCCTTCAATGGTTTCTATCAAATAGTTTTTCCTATTTGGATTTTACATTTTCATCATTTATCACTCTTCAAAATCTATCACTACTATCAAGTGTGTTTTATATAATTGTCATGACAATTGTTCAATTTATTCCAAACAATAGAGATGATTCATCCAACTCTCCAATTATATTGGGGTCACTTTTATTATCAGAATCAATACTATTGTATTTATTAGAATTACTTTTAAATGGTACATCGGAATATATAACAGTGGAGGGAGGAGGAGGTACCCAATCATGGACAATGTATCCAAATTATTTGGTATTATTTAGTTCAGTAGTCGCCTTGTACATTAACAATCGAGGGTCAACTACTTTATATCTCTTACGATCAAACTTTGCAACTTTTTTAAAAACACTCTCAGACAGTGTCCTTTTATCAAAAGTAATCGCCATTTGCATTATTATCCCCCTTCAACAACCAAATCAACAACTCGAAACTCTACTTTCAAACATTATCATCCCAACAACTATTTTTACATTTATTATCTATTCAAGTTTTTATTTCAACAAGGATTCAAAGTTTATAAAAGAAAAAGATATTGGTAGTAATAATAATAGTAGTAATTATAATAATAATAATAATAATTTATCACAATCAATGGTATGACTTTTTAAAAATAATTAAATTATTTACCAAATTAACCTTTTCATTCTTTTTAGATTTATAGTTTAATTTTTATGGCAATATTGGGGTCATTATTTTATTCATTACCTAGTTTTGATGGTAATATAAATTTTATGAAAAAAACATCAATCTTTTTAGCAAAGTTTTTGTTGTTGTTTTCTTTTTCAACCTTTCCAATTTCCATCAAACATGTTCCCCAAAACAAAACCTTTAGAAATATTATAGTATTTTCAATTTTAATAGCATTGATTTTAATATTTTTTAATACCAACCAACAACAACAACAACAACAACGATCGAATAATGAAAAATGGAGTTATTGGTTTTTGGTATTTGGTATATTAGAGATAATGGTATTATTGGCCAATAGAGGATTAAAGAGTAAAATGGCAAAGGCAACATCATTGAAATGGATATTCTCAATCACAACAGGATCGTTTATTGGGTTGTTTGTGGTATTCAACTTTTTCTTTATCCAATCCTGGATAATATCCACCTTGATATGCCTATTATTTTCCTCTTATACCCTTCTCTACACCTATTTCAATTGGCCATCTCTTACTTCTCATAAATATATCACAACAATCTATGCTTTTTTTTCAAGTATGTTTGTGATGATTTATCTTTTGATTGGTCAGCTCCAAAACAGAGACATTGGATCGAGTAGAGTCGGCGTTTTTAGGTTAATTGAAATTAATAGATTATCGATAATTGGATTGTCGATTGCTTTGAATTTGGTTATCGTCATCCTTGTCTACTATAAATCAATTCAATTAAAAAAATCTCAACATCTTAAACAACAACAACAACACTCGTCAACCCCTTCTTCTACTTTACAACCACAGTTACCTTCTCCATCCTTGTTAACAACCTTTAGTAAAATGATGGTTGTATCAAATATTGCTTGTATTTATTCATTTATTGCATGTATCATGGTCAACCTATTTTGGTTGGATGGAAATGAATCAAGTGTAATTGTTTTGGCACCTTTACTCCTATTTGTTCAATCCCCTATCGGTGAACAAAAGGAAAATACAACAGCAGCAGCAACAACAACAACAACAAAAGATTTGGAGAAAAAAGGATTTTTATCTTTTTGTTACCTCCTTCATCAATTATCAATTCTCCATCTTCATCTTCATCTCATAGACAAAGTAGAGGTGGCAAAGGAAATAGTATTATTTTTAAAAAGAAAAGCAAGATTGGGATGATCCTCTCAAGATACAGAGGAATCGTATTTTTAGTCACCACTCTATTGTGCCTAATGGCATTGGCAGATCTCACAGTCAACAAGAAATCGATAGACAATGACACACAAGAATGGTACAAGTTTTTTGGATCGGACCAACAAACACCCACCACATTGTCTCCCTCTAAATCTTTTTGGAAGCTTTGGTGGGGTGCAAAGAATTGGATACTATTCTTGTTTGGAACCATTCCTTCCATTTATTATACCAACAAGTTTATGATTAGCCTTGGTGAAAGACAACAACAATTTTTGTGGCTCATATTCTCTCCTCTATCTATATTGGCATTGCTTTTTTCAAATATTTTTTCCATTAAACTATTGTCATTCATCTCTCTTGTTGGTGCCATCTCTCAATACATCTTGACAAACAAAATTCAATCTGAAATCAATCAATTTAATTCTCTACCATAAAAAAAAAAAAAATAAATAAAATAAATTAAGACCCCCCCCCACACACAAAATATTATAACATTAATATTTTGATTGGGTGTGGTTAATTAATCACCACCTCCGATAATATTTTTTTTTTTTCTTCCCTTTTAAAAATTCATAATTGTTCCTTGTTTGTTTTATTATTTCAAATATTTGTTTTTTTTTTTCAAAGATCTCTCTCTCTTTTTGTCAATCACTATGGGAATATATAGTAACTTTAAAACATCATCACCACCAAGATTCAGGTTATTAGTAGTTGTATTATTTCTAGTGACTATAGTGTTGTTTAGTTTTGCTTATTTCAATGGTCACCTAGCATTGTATGATCAAACATCAGCATTTGATCGACATAGTAAATTAGATATAGCAAACCAAAGAGATTGGGAAGATATAGCAAACCAAAGAGATGTTACAATCTTTTTGTGGGACATTACAACAAAAGAAATAGATTGGTCTGGTTTGTTGGCTTCGGATGCAAATTTAGATAATCAAAAACAACATTTATATAAACAACAATTAAAACAACAACAACAACAACAACAAACAAGTAGATCTTTAAAATCAATTGCAATCAAAAACAATAGAGATGAAGATCAAGATGACCAACCCGATGATGATGAATTTGAAGATGAAAACGAAAAAGTTTGTGACGTATCTTGTAGTTTTACCAACAATCATATAGATCTACCACTATCAGACTATATCGTATTTGATCCATCATTTATTCATCGTGATGATTGGAGAAGATCACCTTTAAACCTTCCAGAAAAGTTACCATTTCAAAAATTTGTCTTGTTGGACTACTTTAGTAAGAGTCAATTTCCAATCCTCGCCGATCCAAGGTATACCTCTCTCATGGATCTACATTTCAACTATAGTGCCGATAGTACCCAACAACTTTCATTGGCATGTCCACCAGATCCATCGTTTACCACAAAAAATACCACCTCTTTACTATTAAATAATCATGATTCAAAACCTTGGCAATCAAGAAAGGGATTGGTTTTTATTTCTTCAAATTGTAAAGTTGGTTTTGCAAAATCAAGAATCGTATGTAAACAAAAAAAAAAAAAAGTAATTTAAAGAATTATTTTAATCAATTTTTTATTTTTTTTTAGAATTATATAAAATCAATGAAAACAATTGTTGATATTGATACTTTTGGAAAATGTTTTGAAGGAAAATCTACTACTATTCAAAACATGTCAACCAAGCCAACAAACATTAATGAAATAATCAAAAGCAATATGAAAGAGTTTGAAAATTACAAGTTTGCTTTGACATTTGAAAATGAAAATACAACAGACTATGTATCTGAAAAGGTATACTCTGCTCTCTACTCTGGTGCCATTCCTGTCTATATGGGCTCAAAGAATATTGGCAACTGGGTACCAACTGGTTCAATCATCAAGGTATCTGACTATAGCTCTCCAACTGATCTTGCCAATTATCTCAAAAAGGTTATCGACGATCCAAATGAATATAAAAAATATTTTGAATGGAAAAAATCAGATTTGGAACAAAAGGTAAGTCAAAAAAAAAATATATTATTTATTTATTATATTTATTTATTTTTTCTTAGGTAATTGATAAATTAAGAATGTGTGTAAATGGTTTTCATAGTAAATGTAAAATGTGTAAAATGGCAAACGATGTGTTATCAATCAAACAATTGGAGTTAAAAAAGGGCCTAATGACAACACATAGTTCCTATCAACCATTCCATTTACAAATGCAAGGAAAAGGAGACCACATTAAAGTTGATTCATCCAATTGTCCAACGTGTTTGGATTTGTCTGAAAAATACACTCTAATGGCTTGGGTAAAACCAACAAGTTTTGGTGATCAACGTGTCATTGACAAGAATACTGGAGGTACTGTCGATGGATACAATTTTGACATTCAAAAGGCAACAGACTCGAGCAGAGGAATTGCACGTCTATGCGCTGGTGGAACTTGTTTCTCATCTCACATGTCATTCTCGCCCGACGTTTGGACCCACATTGCTGTCACCTACTCTGTAAATAACGAACACGTCCACGACAACAAGGTAAACTTTTTTATCAATGGAAAAAAAGATATTCCTCAAGATTTCTTTAATCCAACTGCAAAAAATAAGCATCCAGTTTTAATTGGTGCTTCAAATGGTATAGCCATTGGGTAAGTTAAAAAATTATAAAAATGATAAGGGGATCAATAATAATAATTATTATAATTTATTTAGTGATAGTGGTACATATAATGGAAACATTGATAATATTGCAATCTATAATAGATCATTAAACAATCAAGAGATAATCAATGCCATGTGGAACAAACCATTTGGTGACGAAAAGGATATTTTATTGTATTTTGATTTTGATGTCAACCCTCTTCACCACGAGACAAAGGGTACAGTAAAAGATAGATCAATCTATGGAAATAATGGAATCTTGGTTGCTGGTAAATCTTTCCATACCTCTGAAAGATTACTTTCCTATGGTCGAGAGTATTCTTTTAATAAATGTTTATAAGCATTACATTGGATTCAAATTAACAAAATATAATCCATAGATAAATAATATCGAAAATTAATTTAAATTCAACACCTTTAATTATTGTCATCTGGAAAGAATAAAAGAATATCACAAGTGCTCTGCTCTTATTAGAAACAAATTAAAATTATTGAGATTGTCCTTGATATTAATTTTGTTAAATTTTGGATAAAATTGGATCAAAATCCTATAGTTTAACTCTGATGATCTAAAACTTTTATTATTCCATAGATTTTATCATGGTGTGGTATCAAAAGAATTAAAAAAAACAACCTTTATCAGAAATTTATTGGAGCCTCAGAGGGTACTGGTTTTTTTTGTGCAATTATTGATTTTTGTGAATTTTTTTGTTTAGCTTTCTTGACTTGAAACCTTTACAATATCATAGGAAATGATCTGAATTTTGTGCAGACATCAAACTTGCTAAAAAAATATCATTTTTTTATTAAAAAAGTAGTGATTTGGTTGTTTGGTTTTAGACTTTCAAATTTTTATAGTTTAGCTCAATTAACTTATAACTTTGATATTCATCATTGAACATTGTTTTGGTAAGTAAATGTATTATTTTAATTTTATAAAAAAAACCTTTTCAATATTTTATGTGTCCTCTTGGTTTTTTTTAATTTTAAAAGAATATTTTCAAGTAATATAATTTCCCTCACTTGACTTGAAACTTTATATTCTATTTTTAAAATTAGTATTCAATGAAGTTGAAAGTATTCCACAAAATAACCTTTTTCTCAAATTTTAATATTTTTGTGATTGTTTTTCCAAAACTATAAATTTAACTCAATTGATATGAAAGTTTGATATTATCTATATATTATGATTTCAAACATTATGGCATCATTTAATAAAAAGATTAAACAAACGTAGAAAGAGTGGTCATCATTTAGGACTTTGAGCGACGCTTCGAAAAACTATATTATTTTCGATTATTTTTATTTTTTTCGAGCAAAATACCCTTTTTGGGAGTTTTCACCTACTTCCACCTATTTTATTTTATTCTTTATATTTTTTTTCGAGCAAAATTTGCCACATGAGGAAAGAGATGATGTTTTTTTTTTTTTTTTTCCACAATTAATATTTTTAGTTAAAAATATATTTATCTGGAATAAATATTATTTATAATATAAATGAATGAATAGTCTTATTTATTGAGAATCCCAAAAAATGGAGATAAATTTCATTGAAGAGATTTTTCGGAATGTTCAACAATGAAAATTTTTAAAGAAAATTTGCAGAAAAAAAGGTTCTTGGACCTTTCTTGGCGGGTTTTGTAATATATTTGAGTAATGCGTCGCTGATCTTGTTACGATTCAACAGGATCTCATCCCCTTCTTTCAAAGTACTCTCCTTTCTATTCTTGTTGTAGTTTCTTGCTTGTTCGACTTGTGATGACAGAATGTTGTCTCTCGCAACCTTTTGGAAGTAATCTATCATCTGTTTGATGTCCATATCTTTGATCGCATGAATGTTGAATATGTTGGAAGGTGTTGTTGGTTCAAATCCATAATTGATTTCGAATGGTGAAAGTTTGGTTGACGATTGTTTAAATGAATTGAGAGCAAATTCTACAGCTGTCAGATGCTCATCCCAATTCTCCTTGTGTGTCTCTTGAAACTTTTCCATTATCTTTCTAATAGTCTTGTTGTAGATTTCCGTCTGACCGTCACCTTGAGGTCTATTCGGTGTTGACATCTTTAATTTTGTTCCAATAGCTGTCATTAATTCACTCCAAAGGTCACTCGTGAATCTCTGATCTCTATCCGACACGATTGACGATGGCAGTCCGTGTAGTCTAAAGACATTGTTAAATAATAACTTTGCAGTACCTACTGCATCAATCTCTTTAGTGCAAGCCATTAAGTGAACCATCTTGCTTAGTCTATCCACAACAACCAATAAATTGTCCATTCCATTCTTGGACGTCGGCAAGGACATAAAGTCCATCGATATGTCCATCCAATTTCTTTGAGGTATCTCTAGAGACGTCAGAAAACCCTTCGCTTTGCATTTGTTTGAACGTTGACAAATATCACAAGAACCAATGAACTTGACGATCGACGAATGTAATCCAATCCAGAAATAATTTGATCGTATCTTCATATACGATTTGGTGATACCCAAATGACCACCAATATAACCAGCATGACTTTCATCCAGTATTTTTGCAATGTGTTTCTTGTCTACCAAGATTAGACGCTTAGACAGGTCTGGTTCAACAATGAACAATAGACCTTCCTCTTCAATGATTTTGTTATTCTTGTTTCTTTGAATCTCCACAATTTCACTTGAGTCCTTGTATGACTCTACAATTTCCTTGATCCATTCGTCGGACCAAACTATTTTATATCTTCTATCTCTTGACAGTGCATCTGCCACTGTATTGGTCTCTCCAGGGATATATTCAAACTTGATATCAAATTCTCCCAGTATTTCTAACCAATTCCTTTCTCTTGCCGATAGTTGATGTTTGCTGTCCCAATATGTCAAATTGTTGTAATCTGTGTAAATCGTTACCTTTCGCCCGAGAAAGTGATGTCTGTACTTTTGTAATACATGAATTGCCGCGAGCAACTCTCGGTCAGTCGTTGAGTAGTTCCTTTCTGCCGGTGTCATCTTTCTACTTTCAAAGATGACCGGGTGGTACTCTCCATCTTCATCCAATTGAGAAACTACTGATCCCACTCCATAGTTCGAGGCATCGGTATGGATCACAAAGTCTTTGTTTCCATCCAATATCTTCATGACTGGTTTACTGGTCAGGATTTCTTTACACTTTAGTACTGCTTGTTTCCATCCATTATCTTGCAGTTCACCCGCCTTGGTCTTCTCCTTGATGGCAATTGCTTCTCGCATTGGTTCCACAAGCTCTGTGAACCCTTGAATGAATCTTTGATAAAACGATATCATTCCCAAAAATCGGCGTAATTGTTTTACGTTCTCTGGCATTGGCAAATCGACGATCGGTTTCGTCTTTTCTTCGTTTGTTGTTATGCCTTCTCCATTTATCTTGTAGCCTACAAATGCCACTTCATCTTTGAACAAATCGCATTTGCTCCCATTTAAATAAACCAAATGTTCCTCCATTTTCTTTAAAACGATTTCCAAATGTCTCTTGTGGTC